GGACTTGGTTTGGCCATGCTCGTGGCTTTGATTGAGTTTTGTTACAAGTCAAGAGCTGAGGCGAAACGAATGAAGGTGGCAAAGAATGCACAGAATATTAACCCAACTTCYTCACAGAATTCGCAGAATTTTGCAACTTACAAGGAAGGTTACAACGTATATGGAATCGAAAGTGTTAAAATTTAGGGGGTAGGAATGAGGTTCTAATACAAACTTCTAAATGCACGCTGTAGCTTCATTGTTGTGTCCTTAAGCTGTTGAATGAGGAAGTTGGCCAAGGGACCGTGGTGTATGTATTGCTGTTSTTTTTGTTCCTGGTCAGTAACTAACTGAATGACCTGTTACTGACTGCAAGTCTTTTGGTGAATGTGGGTTGTCCTGGCGTAGATGTGCTTGACAATTGTAGTGCGGCTTTCGCTTAAATGTGTGTTTTCATTTGCTAAAGGCTGTTTAAAGAAACTGCAAAAAGATCTGATTCTCCTCTCACTTACTCTACAGTAAGTCAAGAGTAACCTCATTGAAGCCAATGAAGTTACACTGGTGCCAGCCGAATGTAAGCAAGAAGAGAATCAGGCCCTCTGTCTCAAATGCTGAATTTCTGTAATGTATAGTTTTATTTTTCTTTCTCTTTCTTAAGATGACCTTGAATGATGCCATGAGGAGCAARGCAAGGCTGTCAATTACAGGAAGTACTGGAGAAAATGGACGTGTTATGACTCCAGAATTTCCAAAAGCAGTGCATGCAGTACCTTACGTGAGTCCTGGCATGGGAATGAATGTCAGTGTGACTGATCTCTCGTGATTGATAAGAACCTTTTGAGTGCCTTACACAATGGTTTCCTTGTGCGTTTATTGTCAAAGTGGTGAGAGGCATCCAGTATCTTGAAGACTTTTCTTTCAGCCAAGAATTCTTGTATTTGTGGAGTTCATCTTGGATTGTAACGAATGCTTGGTTCRAAACACAACACCATTTTCTACACAAGTTCAAGATGAAGCTTGACTGACATGCACAGCTAACATGGAAGTACTGTAATCTAACTGAAGTCGTTGTACAGGCAACACCAGTTTCTGCAGCCACTGTTGTTAGTCCCTTGGTTCATAYTGACTTAAGCACACTTGACATCAATTGCATCAAGATGTGACATGTTTTATAAGAAAAAAAAAACGTATAAAATGAAAAAAATATTTTTAGGTATTTTCACAAACAAAAACTGGCTTTTAAATAAATTTGCTTCCATAATGGTTGGATATGACAAAAGAAAAAAAATAAGAAAAAAAAAAAAAAAAAAAAAAAAAAAAAAAATGGGGGGAAGAGAAATATGAAAATAAGGCTTAAGGCATCAGTTCCGTATTTTTCAAAGCCAAATATGTAATGTTGAGAAGAGAAGAAATAATCATTAAAAGGTTCAAATCTTGTAATTTAATATTGTTATTAAAACTTTGCTGTATATCCTATTCTTTAACATTTGGTGTTAATATAAAATTTACTTGGCAATGCTTGACATTTGAAATAAACTTTTTTCTATGGTTTTATTTGCAAGTGTTCCATTAATTTTACTAGCTACAGATGGGTTTTAAAGAGTCTGAAATCTAAAAGGACACTGTCAAGGTTGGGTCAATGTTTCAATTTTTGGCAGTGTCGCCACTCCCAGCTCACTGGAATCTGTTCAATAGCTTTTTTCTGCAGACGAGCCCAAGCTGTGATGCTCAGATACGCTTGTTGAACTCTGAAGATCAAGGTTGTTCTGGGTTGGAGCGGTASTTGATACTGGCACATGAGGAGTCAGATGGGTGCTGTCCTAGACTCCTCTTAACTCTGGCATGCAGAGACTTAATGATCCAAAGATTTGGTTGATACCTGTCTCTACTTTTGTACAACTGAGTTCATAAATACATGTACAGAGAGAGAAGAGTATCAGTAAAAGCTGATAAATGGCAAGCAGTAAAACAGTGTTAAGTATTTTTTTAAAGTATGAAACAAACACAGTTGTCAAATTCTTTCTTTAAAAGAGCAGTTTTCAAACTGTTAAAAGGTAATTCTAAGCAGTAGCTAGTGAAGCTTTTATGGAAAAACCCAAAACCTTGGCAATGTCTTTTTGAATTAAGATTGATAACTCAAATTAAATGCGAGTCTGTACTGATGAAAACTTTCCTGAATCTTAGTCATTATGAATATTCTTTGCTAGCTGAAGTTACCATACTTTTTAATTATGTGTATTTAAAAACAATAAATACTTAAAAAGCAAAAAGGAATCCTAGGAGGGGTGCAATAATATTAATTTAAATGTTAATGCAAGTCAAAGTAACATCATGTTTCTCTAGCTTTCCCTGTAGATAAAATTCTGTACTTTTGGTTGAAAAGCTTACATTTTTCTGCATTGTGGATACATTGCCTCATGCAGTATCATTAMATTTCTTTTATTTTGGATTTAAATAAAATTTTAAATATGACTTGCAGTTTTAGTTGGAATCCATTTCTTAGACTGAAGTATAATGTTTGCTGAGCATTGAAGAAGGCAGAGCATTTATCAAAAACTTGAAATCCCTTCTTGTGGTACAAACTCTGAGCCTGTTTCTGCAAGCATGTGAACACAATGTATACTGTCAGTGTGGTCAGCAAAAGAGGTGTATACAGTGTTTCCAAAGTGGATCTTACCAATACTTCCCCCTACTTAAACAAAACCATTTCTTGACACGTCTGTAATTCATAGGTGTTCTGTGCATTACTCCTCATCAGGAATGTTGGGGAATGCATTTGGATTTTTAATGTTCAATGCTAGAATGACCAAACTAAAATAATGTTCATATGGTAATATAAATTTTTTTTAAAAAGTAGAAATGCATTACTGTATGCAGTGGAAAGCTATTTATTGTACCTCTGGGCTTATTCCTCTAAAAGTCATAGCATTAAAAAAAAATTATTTGTCAAGCCTGAACTGATGTATATAACTGAAATAATGTAAAGTTATATTTTCATGTTTTTATACTTAACAACATGATGGGAATACATAATGTATGAGTATTTCAATTCAGATAATATTGATTGGATAATATACATCTCAGTTAAAAAAAAACAGTAATAATAGTTTAATATCCATGTTAACAGTACATCAGTATATTGCTATATAAAGTATGTCTGTGTGCATTTAAGTGAAAAGTAGTCAAGAGTGATGAAAGCTGTCCAAGGGTTTTTTATTCATTTTATATGAAAACTGTTATGGAGCAACCAAAATGTTTATGAACTCAAACTTGTGTAAATTTCAAAATGTCCTTTTACTGTAGCTTTTTGTTTACAGTACAGTATCTTATTTTCTGCTTTGTTAAATGAGTAACGGTACAAAGCTGGACATACACTTTCTAAGACATTAACGTTCTCGGTTTTTCATGTATACTTATATGACAGAAAATGCTTCTGATTTTATTTTTCAATCTAACACATGGCTTTTCTGGAGTGTTGTATAAACTTCAATCATACATAAAAAATCTTCTTAAAAAAGGCAAAAGACCTTTAACGTCTGCTTAGTATTATTGAAATCTGGTTTCTTATTTATTATAAATGTATTTTTCTAAGATTTTACATGGAGCAAACCTGTTTGTCCCCGCAGACATGAAATTTCCTTGAAGAGTTTCTGAAGTTTCTTCTTTTCTTGAAGTTACAGTGAAGAGTATATATTTCTCCCAGATCATCTTGTCACTCAAGGATAGATTCACTGTAGTTTTTATTATTTTGTTCCAGCAATAGAATTATATCTCTGGACTGTAACCCTCCTGATCAAGGTTACAATGGCAGTGTGACAGGTTGATAAAGATAGGAGATTAACTATCTATTCAGTAACACTACCTAAAAATTCTGAGTTTAAACAAATACTTCTTTCAATTGAATGCATTATTGATGTATCCAAAGCAGAGAAAGAACCTGAGAAATGGCAAGTTAGGTRTATATTAATAGTCAGTAGAAAAGATCTATTAGAGCAGAGTTTACTGTAAAAGCAGAGTGTGAAGAGGTTCACAGTGTGAGAGGTTCAACATTTTCATGTAAACATGTATTGCACTTTTTACCAGAGTGTGTTTCTGTGGTGTCAGTCTCCTCTTTGGCTGATAGATGTAAACAATATCTTTACATGAAACCTTGTGCAAACAATTGTATTTTAAAATACAAATAGATTATTTCAGCTATCATTTGGTGCAATTAGTTATATGAATACAGTGGTCACCAGCAAAACAGAATCATCAGCAGCTGATATTCCTAGAGGCTATTCAGACCTGTTTTCGCAGCATCAAAGTTTATTATTTATTAAATCTTTTCATTTAAGCTGTCAAGGGATCACAAAAATTTGCTGTGAGAGATCCATCAAGTCTAAATTATCTTAGGAATTTATATTATATCAAGCTCTTAGAATGAAATTAAGCAAGTGGATTTAATTTGGAACATTTTCCCTTGCATCAATTTTTGTTGATGCTAGAGAATACTATGCAGTTGCGTGAGACATAACAGAGAATTGAATAAAATAATTTTTTTGTTTTTGTGAACATGTGGCAGAAAATGGAACTATGTAAGATACAATACAAAAATTCTGAGAATTATAGCTCTAACTCCCCTGCAGCTTTCATGTGTCATGACATCAGTCCCTAATCTTTTTGCTAGGGCATATTATATGATGTGTTTTCTTTCTTTCCCTCTTCCCCCACTACATGCAATTAGTTCTAATGCCTGCTTTTTAGCCTGTTAGGCTGATAGGAAATGTAATTTCTATATGTAATACTTGCTATCATTGATTTAGCGGTCATTGAACATGTTCATTGTAGATCATGTCATAAGTCTCTGTACTAAAGCAGCAGTGATGATAAAGTTAGGAAAGGTTATCTAAACTCTTTATCCAAGTGGCATCATCCACTGAACTTGTTCTTCTATCAGTTTCCTTTATACATCTCTTACTGCTAATGAAAATGTAGCTACCTCTACAAACAGCTCAGTGCTTTACTTACCTCAGTGATGAGAA